GCGGGGCGGGCGGAGGGCCGGCTTCGCCGCGTCGGGCGCGGTTGCCGCCTCCTGGACGCTGGGCTGTGTGTGTGCATCGCGGGGTGCGCTTGGTCGGCCTCCCCCGGGGAGCGGCGGAAGGACGGGGACCCGTTTTTTTCTTCCTTCTCCCGTGATGGCTCACGTCGCTCTCGCTCTTCCTGTTTTTCAGCTGTCACGACCGGAGGGGGGACTCGCAGCCTTACCAGGTACCAGCCGAGGCCGGGCTGGGGGGTGGGAGGGGGCCCGGGGGGAGGGGAGGATCTGCTACTCGAGCGCAGGCTTCAGAAGTCGCTGCAGGCCCTTCGGTGCCACGGACCCGAAACTAGCACCGGCGGGCCCCTCAAAACCTTGTGTCGGGTCCATTAGCGCCCTTCCCACCAGCTTTAGGGACTTATTTTGACAGGTGACGGGAGGAAGTTCAGGTTTTTGAGAGCAGGGAGAAACAAATCATTTGCAGCCCGGGAAGACCTGGACTCAATGACTGGGGTGGTGGAGGAATTGGTGATGGGAAGCATCTTTATTTACTCCTGATCGGGAAGTTCATGCGTAGTTATTAAAATGGGATGGAAGACCTGGAAAAAGACAGCTCATTGGCTTAATTTTTTTAATAAAAGCTTAAGCCTGTTGTAAGTTACCATTCCCCTTATTTACTCCGGTGACAGATAGAAATTGCCCTTTTTTCTTGCAAGATTTGAGATCTTTGGATGCTTGAATATTTTACTCTTAAGGTGGAGGGTTCTTGCTAAATAAACTCCCCAACTGCCCCACTATTTGGGGGAGAAATTGGACGAACGGTTAACAACTGTCAGATGACTCTAAAACTTGTGTAAAATACTTTGGGGCTAACCACATAATGGATAAAAGTCGATTTTTAATTTAGAATTGTTACTGGCTAGGACGCATTGTTGAAGTTAAAAAACACTAGGGCACCTAATATAGAAACATTGCCCTTTCCATTTGGATATGACAAACATTAAACCCTAGGGAATTTGGCCCCCCCAAAAAACAAAACAAAACAATTATAGTCACCCAGAATACCACGTATTAAAGAAAATTAGGCTATTACATGGAGAGTTCCATTATGCTTTTTAAGAAATATTGCCCATATGTCAGTTTATCTTGGCCAATGTTTTTGTCCATTTAAATGGTTTTCCACACCTGCAGAAATAAAGTAAATTAGGTCTGAACACACTTCACCTGGATCCAAGTTTAAAATCATCCTGATTCACCCCCTCCCCTTTTTGGAAGCTTTGTGCAAACAACCAAACGTTTGTTTATACATGTGACTTAATGTCAGCTGCAGAGCTGAAATTGAGTACAGTGATTCTTAGATTTTAGTTTCCCTTAGACTAAACTTTCAGAAATGGTTTTCAGGTTATTTCCAGGAAAATTTATATGGAATGATTGTGCCAAAGTGTTTGATTTAACGGAGTGATTAGGATTTGTAGTTAGGGGCCTTATACTAAATAATCATTTGGTTCTTTGTGTAACCTAAGGTATAGTTGAAATTGGAAATTTCAATTTTGGTGTTAAAAATACTTTAAATGGCAAATGTGCTATATTAATTTAGGGGGTTAAGTTTAACGTTTCAATTTTTTCTCTCTTTTTTGGGGGTGTGTGATGTTTTACAGGCACTTAAATACTCATCGAAGAGTCACCCCAGTAGTGGTGATCACAGACATGAAAAGATGCGAGACGCCGCAGATCCTTCACCACCAAATAAGATGTTGCGAAGATCTGATAGTCCTGAAAACAAATACAGTGACAGCACAGGTCACAGTAAGGCCAAAAACGTGCATGCTCACAGAGTTAGAGAGAGGGATGGTGGTGAGTAGCTTTCCTGTTGAAACTTTTACATATGTTTATCTTCTAACAATCGCTCTACATTAAACAATAGGTAGCAATATTTCAAGTTTGAGGACATTCCCGTGTGCTTCTGTCATTCAAGTATTTTATTTCTATCAACTTAATATGACTCACTAGTAAGTTGTTGTAGAAATAAGATGCTGGCCTGCGCTTTTGAAAATGGCACTATTGATAGCTGATAAAAAGAGAATGGATTTATGAGTATAGGTTTCCACATACTTTATTAATGATGGGAGAAATACAGAACATTTCCCCAAGAAAATAGCAAAGTTAAACTTTTAAATTCAGTTTCATTTTGCTTGGTTTAGTTTAAGATCTTTGGTGCCTAACTTATTTTTTAAGAATTCAAGTGTTTCCTAATTGGACATTTTAAAATTTAATGTTTTTCAAAGCAGTTTAAAGGTTGAAACAAACATTTGTGATTCAGAAAATTTGTTGCGTTTCTGTTGTAAACATTTAAAATATCATTTCTAGGAGTCTTTCAACTTTGATACAGTTTTCAAATATTAAACTCTTTAAAGATTAGATAAGTCTTGTACACTACTTTCAGACTATCAGTGGTTGGAGACAGAATATATAAATAAAATCAACTCTAGATAACTATTTGCAGACTTAATTTACCCCACATTTACCAAAATATCAGGTTTCATGGCTAAAAAAATACATTAAACAACAAACCGTTTCTTACTCAGGTAATTCTATATCTTCTCCCACACTCGGAACTTATATAGCTTAGTAGGTAGAGTGCTTGAGATAAATCTATAGATGGTGCTTTTGTAAACTTCTAAAGAAACTGGGCACTACACCACACACACTACACTACCCCAGCACCGCAGTACTTTTATCCTAGTTAGCAAATCGTTTCTCAATACTTTGCTTGCTTTGTTTTTTTAAGTGCCCTGCATTTTCTGAGCCTTTATTTTTGTCTTTGGTATAGAAATTCGATAACGAGGAACATTAGGTACATAAGTACTAGGTCGAGGAAATCGTATTGTCCAAGACTGCAATGGGGTAGAGTTGTGGAGGCACATTGGAAGGGAGAGACGGTCTTGTGGAATGTAGCTGTAGCTTTGTGCTGCTTACACAGATAAACCGTATTTTTGTAACAGTACTGGAGGGTAGGCTTGATTAAAAATGTTAGATCTTTAGCAAAATTACTTTTAAACTATCAGTGTTTTCATTTTTGTGGGTAACTTCCACGGTGCTGTATATAGGTGGAGGTACTATTATAAAACTGTTTGATAGTGGATTTATATCAAATGACCTCTCAGAGGGCAGGTAAAGCTTACATTGCGTAAAACATTTTTGTAGTTTTAGTGATTAAAAAGGCGGATATGGTTCCTCATCTAGTTATAATAGAATCGCAGGTCCTTTTAGTAACCATGACCCAGTAAAATGATTTATTCCCAAATCCAGAAGTCAGTGAAACGTCCTTAAGTGTTTTCACACGTTTGGAGTGAACTGTGGCCAACACATTGATGGAAACCCAAGAACATTCTCATATTCCTTCAACAAACGTTGGACATCCATGCATGCCAACACTTACACAATGCTCCTGTAAGTCAGGAAGTCCTGAGGGCGGTCGTCAAGTCCTACTTGACTCTTAGAACCAATTATATTTTAGCTGCTTACCTTTTCTGAACTTCTTTTTTCTTCAGTTTGATTTCAGTTTTCCTGGGAAAATGCTAGGTACATCTTGATTCATTTATATTTTTACCCAGTTGCTTTGCTTACTTGACTCTGGTCTTGTCGCTTAATCATTATAATGAACTTGTTTATAGCCCTTTCAGGCTCTACTGTCTGTAATTTACTTCTTAGGTACTCCGTATACGTATACAAGTCTCAGTTGTCTTCCTTTTTTTTCTTGTTTTAAATACTAGAACACTATTCCTGTTGATGACATTTTTAGTAAGTCTGGTTGCCATAGTGGGTGATGTCCCCCCCCCCCCCCCCCCCCCCCCCGCGGGGGGGGGGGGGGTGGCGCTCCAGAAAGATCCAGGGGCTCCAGAAACAGACAGCTAAGCTTTGGCCTGGACTGTAGGCTATTGTACGGAAGTTTTTAATTGCCAGGAGGGTGGTGCTAGGTCTTTTTTTTTTTTTTTTGCTGAAAAGGGATCAGTAGGTCAAACAAGTTTGGGAACCTAGAGTGTGATTTATACTAAGGAGTAATAGTATTTTGCAATGCAAAATAGTATTTTCTCTCTTTTTTTTTTAATCGTTTTATTAGGGGGCTCATACAACTCTTATCACAATCCATACATACATCAATGTGTAAAGCACATATGTACACTCATTGCCCTCATTCTGCAAAATAGTATTTTCATACTGGAGTTCAGTGTGTCTTTGATATTATGTAGGTTTTTAAAGATGTAAGATGATTCTTCCCTCAATTGATCTCTTAAAGGATTTTAACCTCTCATTTTGAGGAAATGATTTTATCTGATGTCTGCGTATGACTTTATGACATTGTGAATTCCTTTAGTGTTAATCTATAAAAGAATAAAAAGCTAAATACATGTGAAAATCAAAACCATTACCCAAAACCATAGGAGTTTGTGCAATTAGAAGTATAGTGGACTTTTTAAAAATCTTTTTACTTAAATGAGTTTGAGTTTTTAAAATCAAAATTAAGTGTTTTTAAAATCGTCTATTAGAAGACTTTACACTATGATTCAAAACTTTCATTAACAAAGCTAATTAAATAAATATGGGACTTGTAAAGCACACACACACCCCCACCCCCCCCATTGGATCTTGTCAACATTACACTTTTTTTCCCCTTCAATTTGTAGATTGATTTCCTTGGAAAGTATAGCTTCAGAAGCCATGTATGAAAGGAATTTTAAAATACACTGTTTCAAATAAGCAGAGATTGAGAGCATTTTTTATCATGCCTAAATATCCTTAGACTGGTTAAAATAAGGCTTTATCCTTTGAGAATCATTAAAGAATATAACTTAGTATAAGTTCGGGTGCTTACATGAGGGGGTAACTTATGAAAAGTTTCCTTAACTTGGTACAGCAGTCTTTTTTAAAGTACTGCTTTAACAATCTGAGATATTCTCTAGTTTCTGTTTTAAACTGCTGCCTAGTGAAGTTTTTATCTTGTATCGACATTTAGCTGTATCTGGAGAAAATTTGAAATGCATTTTCTCCTATTAGATCATTTTAAAATGAAGGTTTATCCTCTCCTTTTGAGGGATTGTTGAGTAGGGACCATTGGGAGGGATAATTGACCATCAAGTTTGTACAGTGAAATTTCATAATTGTTAGGACTTGCTCACACTGGATAATAAGCTTATAGTTGTATGGCATGGCTTTGTGATTATGTCCAAATAACTTCACAATATGAATGAAAGGTGTACTTTTAGAAAGTGCATTATGTAGCAAGCTTCCTTTGAGCTTCATTGACCCTAAAAGGACCCACATATCCATTTCAACAGTTTTATCAACTGATAGAACATTTACTTTATAATAAGGTTGAACATGTGGACAGTGACAGGACTGAAAATTAGTTCTCCTTACCATGGTGAATTATACACCTTTGGCGGTAAAGCATTTAGGTAAATGGAAAACATGTTCCATGGTATTTATTACAGCATAGGAAGAAAGGCTGGTTATCCACATCTGAGAAGTCAACCAGTAAAAACCGTAAGGAAGCATAGTGGGCCTGATGCCATTGAACATGGGTTTACTTTGAATTAGAGACTGACTCACTGGCAGCTAACAACTAGTTCAAAGGTGATTTTGCTTTTGTATCCTTTTATTCTTAATCACAGGATAAAAAGACTTCATTGAAATCACGCTGTAGTTAGGCCAAAAGACCCCAAGAAAACATTAGTGAGGCTACTGTGTGCTTTTTATTTTTTAACTTTTTAATTTTGAAACTGGCTTTACAGGAAGTTCCATCTTTACTCACTTTCCCCTGCTGGCTACAACTTGTCTAATATGTACAATATCAAGTCAAGAGTAAACTTTTGAGGCGTTTGAGTAATTTAAACTGTTAAACCCAAAGTTGATATGAAATGTAAACCTGTACCTAATTTACAAAATTGTATATGTGTACATACATACCTACAAACCATATAGATTAGCACAACCAGGAAATTGATGTTGGTAATATATGTGTATATTTCTTTGCAAATTCTCATGTCAGTATTTAAAAAAAATAAAAACAACATGAAGTCTTGTCAGATTTCACTAGGGACAAGTCACTGTTCTGACAGACCCTTATACAATATTGAAGAAACTTCAAACAGCATCTGAAGTTTACTTGGTTTATTGGGTTTTTAACATTTCCATCCAATAATACTGTTTTCTTTTTGCTTAATGAAAATGAAATAATTATTACCTATTCTGTTTATCTGTGCTACATATTATGATAGTAAAATAGCCAGACGACAATTTAAAAATTTGAGCGTAGGAAACATGTATTCCACTTTAAGAGAAACAGATACGCGTGACAGATGAGCTAGATGCTTAAGCTCGTCAGTATTTCTACCTTAATTTCAGAAAACTGTATAATCAACATCTGTGCATGTTAATTTTGATAGCCAAGGTAATTGAACTGTTCTCTAGGTATGCAGGGTGTGTTTAATGTTCTTGGTGTTACATACTTAGGGTTTTTTGTCCAGAAAATCCATTTTGGGTTGTCTCTGTTAAGCCTGTGTTTATTTTCTTACCCTCTTGTGCAGGATGTTTTGGGTACTTGTGTCATTGGGTTATGATGCTGGAAAGTGGGAAGTTAGTAATGAGCTGGAGCATCTGGGATCATATGCTCTGTATTGAGGAGAATCCAAACCCATTGTCATCAGGCCCCAGAATGCCTGTAGGAGATACTAATTGTCAATTTAGTCATTACAAAATCAGTTATTTAAAGCTTGATTATACAAAGGCACTTCACAAACGAGGAAAATTCCATTGTCATCTTAATTACATCACTCAGTGTGCGCTTTGAAGAC